AATAGAGTCCTCCTCACAGTTTTCCACTTCTCCCCTCTCCTGGTTAGGCTAAGATGTGCCAGTCAGGTTAGAATGGGGACAGGTAGCCAGGGCACAAGGCCAGCCTCTGGGTTCCTGCCACCCGTGGACCCCTAGACATCACCATCCTAGGCCTGCCCAGATCTGGGACACTGTGTGCACATGGACACCTGTGAATATGGCGGGACCAGGGAGACAGAGAGTTTGATTCTCCCTGGCCACCAGCATCTGGGATTGGGAGCTCATGAGGCGGTCCTCAAACTAGGGACAGCTGTGACACCAGGGCAGGGGCCCCATTCTGGCCTTTTCACCCTGCTTCAGACAGGGCTCCCTTAACTCCAACCCTGACCCTCCCAGCTTTCATGCCCAGTGCCCGAGGTGGGCAGAGAACTTCCAGTAGTCCTGGGGCAGTGCCAGACCCCAGGGAGTCTTTTCTAAAAGATGTTGGTCTCAACGGTGGCTTCCCCATCCGCTGGCTCCAAGTCCCTTGGTGACTGTTCAGGTCTGGGTTTCCCACTGAGGGTTAGGCTGAGGCTGAGGGTGGCGGGGCAGCTGGAGCGGGTCAGCAGCGTGGTGTGGCGGCTCGAGAGGCTCCCGTTGGAGAGCCGCCGGCGCATCTGGGGCTGGGGACCCCCACAGCAGGCAAGGTGACGCAGGGGCCACCGTAACAGGTGGCTGTTGAAGCCCATGTAGATCCAGGGGTTACAGCAGCTGCTGAGGTTGCCCAAAAGCATGGTGATGGTGGAAGCCACATTGGTGGAATCTACCAAGAGAGAAGCACAAGAAGGCTGAGAATGGTAGCTTGAAGGGACCTGCGAGAGCGTCCAAGCACCACAGAGGAGGAACGGATGAGGAAACTGAGTCCCACGGAGGAAAAGGGAGTCACTCAGGGTCCTATAATTAGAGAGACACACAGCCGAGACTTGAACCTGGGACTCCTGGCTCTAGAGTCTTACCATGCTGATTTTGTTTGCTTTTGTTGTGTAACCGCAGGGTGAAGGTAGGAGCTGAGGTTTGCTTCAAGTTTAATTGAGAAGAAGGAACATTGTCAGGGATAGGATCAGCCCAGATAGGAGAAACTGACTTTGTTCCAAAAGACAGACCTTGAGTCCCCTAATGGATGTAGACAGAATGAGACAACTTCTGTGAAACAGGCAGGAAAAATAACCAAGCTTCCATCTTCATCCCCACTAAACATCACAGATCATGGATTCACACGGCCCTCTGGACTCTGACCCCCTCTATCCCTCTGGGGCAGGCCCACTCATTCTGCATTCAGTCATTGAGTGTGTGGGCACCGACTCTACCTGGCCTTGAGCTGGGGACCTGAGGGGGCAATCAGTGGAGGTTGACTCCTCTGCAGACACCTATGCCACCATTGCCACCTGTGGCAGATCAGGCGGCTTCTACGCACTGGGCCTCCAAGCATCCCTCTCCAGACCAGAACATGTTCAGTGTTCTTAGATTGTTCCCAGGGAATGCACTTTCCAGCAGGGAAAAACTAATTTCTCTGTTGGGCAGTCAAAATGTGAGGATGCCAAGGCTGATAAATTCCTTCCAGACAAAATATTCTTTCTGAAGGCTAAATGAGACCCTCATGCCAACAGGAAAGCTGCAGGGATGAGCCATGGCCTCCTGCTAGGTCTGCCGTGGTTACAGCCATGGCATAGGTGCTATGCTGAGTCATCTTCCTTCTCAGTGGAGTTTGTAGAATCATTGAAAGCAATTTCAGAGCTGGAAGGAACCTTAGAAGTAAGCTTTCTAGTTTTTATAGCACAGTTAATAAGAGCTGCAACCCAAACCCAGGTCTTGCAGCTCTGAGGTAGAGATCCTACACCCCACCAGAGCTCCAACCAGCAAAATAGAAGGTAAAGCTCAAGTGTCTACTCTGCAAAGCACTGAGAACGCTTCGGATACCCTGGTTCCTTGTGCACGCGTCCCAGGGGTGTGCTCATGGGTGTGGCAAATCATGGCTCAAGAGGAGGGAAGACACAGGGTGAGAACATTTGATAGACGGCGTGAGTCATAGGGGTGGGAAGCTGAAGGTATCTGGGCCTGCATGGACAGTTCAGGGGACAGCCAGGAAGGCAGCGGAAAGCGTCTGGAAGTGGAGGAGAGATGATCGGGTTCAGATGTCGGCTGGACGCAGGGGAACCCGCCTGTAATCCCAGCACTCTGGGGGGCCAAGGTGGGTGGATCACCCGAGGTCAGGAGTTTGAGACCAGCCTGACCAATATGTTGAAACCCTGTCTGTAATAAAAATACAAAAAATTAGCCAGGCATGGTGATGTGCGCTTGTAATCCCAGCTACTCGGGAGGTTGAAGCAGGAGAATCACTTGAACCCAGGAGGCAGGAGAATTGCTTGAACCCAGGAGGCAGAGGTTGCCGTGAGCCGAGATTACACCACTGCACACCAGCCTGGGGGACAAGAGCAAGACTTTGTCTCAAGGTGGGAAAAAAAAAAGGCGAGAAAGAAAGAGATATTGTTTGGATGTTTGTGCCCTCCAAATCTCATGTTGAACAATAATCCCCATTGTTGGAGGTGGGCCTGATGGGAGGTGAATGGATCACAGGGGTGAACCCCTCATAGACAGCCTCATGGCATTTCTTTGGTGATAAGTGAGTTCTCGCTCAGTTAGTTCACATGAGATCTGGTTGTTTGAAAGAGTCTGGGACCTCTCCCTTCTCTCTCCTGCCCTCTCTTGCCATGTGATACACTGGCTTCCTCCTTCACCTTCTGCCATGATTGGAAGCTTCCTGAGGCCCTCGCTAGAAGCGGATGCTAGCCCTATGCTTCTTTTTTATTTTCTTTTTGAGACAGGGTCTCGTTCTGACCCTCAGGCTGGAATGCAGTGTGTGATTATGGCTCATGGCATCCCTGACCTCCTGTGCTCAAGCAGTCCTCCTACCTCAGCCTCCTAAGTAGATGGGACCACAGGGGTGAACCAGTGCACCACCACACCTGGCTAATTTTTTTTATGTTTAGTAGAGATGAGGTCTCACTGTATGTCCCAGGCTGGTTTTGAACTCCTGGGATCAGTTGATCCTCCTGCCTCAGCCACCCAAAGTGCTAGGATTATAGGCATGAGCTGCCACACCCAGCCTGGCAACATGCTACTTGTACAGCCTCTGGAACCGTAAGCCAAAATAAACCTCTTTTCTTTATAAATTTCTCAGTCTCTTGGCCAGGTGCAGTGGCTCATGCCTGTAGTCCCAGCACTTTGGGGGACTTAGGCGGGCAGATCACCTGAGGTCAGGAGTTTGAGACTAGCCTGACCAACATGGTGAAACCTCGTCTCTACTAAGAATACAAAATTAGTGGGGTGTGGTGGGTGCCTGCCTATAATCCCAGCTACTCAGGAGGCTGAGGCAGAAGACTTGCTTGAACCTGGGAGGTTGCGGTGAGCCAAGATCACACCATTGCACTCCAGCTTGGGCAACAAGAGTGATACTCCATCTCAAAAAAAAAAGACAAAAAAAAATTCACAGTCTCAGGCATTCCTTTATAGCAATGAAAATGGACTAACACAAGGGACAAGCCTCAAAAGCAAACTCAGCCTCCTTCTGCTCTGCCTGGGTCCCAGCCTGCTCCCTAGTTAATGTGTAACTACAAGCTGCGGAAGATTTGGGAAGTGGCTTTGGCTGAGGGGACAGTGTTCATCCTGTCTGCTCCATTGACACACATTTAGTGTCCAGATTAAGCCAGAGACAAAGGAGTTCCACAGGTTCCTTCATTTAGGAAGTGTCTGTTTGGTTTGGCTCATCTGAGCCAGGCCTTGGTAGGGGCTGGAGATGTGCCACAGAGGAGGTGCCACAGGGAGGTGCCAGAGTCAATGGAGGCTGTGCTTCCCAGCCCTTGAGGGTAGATCTGCCACACCCAGTCCAGGCCTCCATTGCCTCCTGCCAGAAACTCAGATGATGGTCGAGGACAGGGGCAGAGATGAGGAAACAGGGAGGCTCTGACCAAAGTCTTGGGACCAGGGGCCAGGAGGCCAGCATGCGGTGGAGGGGAACTGGGAGTACTGAAAAGCAAGTTTAAAGTAATGAATTTCTGCCCCAAGGACTTTCATTTCTCTGGGAGCTCACCGTCTGTAAGATAAACCTTTGGGACAACCCACTGTCCCATGCACTCCTTGCCCAGAGATGCCCTTGGTAAGGGGCAAATCACTCTACACAAGCGAGGGCTGAGGTGTAGAGGAACAGGTTGAAGATGATGGTGGACACCACAGGCAAGCAGAAAAGTCTGCACTGGCTGAGTGACAGGAGCACCATCTTCTCAATAGAGGGGCAGATGACCAGCTCACCCTGGTGCCACTGGCTAAGCCACAGTGTTGGGAGTAAAGCCACAACCTGGATAAAGCTTGGCCCATAAAGACCTCAATTCAAGCTTGAGCTCTATCTCTCACTAGCAGTGGCATTTTGGACCAGTTATCTTACTTCTCTGAGTCTCAAGTGACTCAAATATAAAATACAGAAGGCCACTCCTCAATAGCAGGAGGGCTGAATGCGCCTGTCCCTAGGAAACCCTCCTTCCTTCTATTCTGTGCTTGGTGAGAGCAGGGAGGTCCCTACAGTTGGTTAGAATTAATATGCCCATTGCTTAAAGGATAAACTGCAAATCATCTCCTGCCCAGACTGATGTCAGAAGGGCTATGAGAAAGGGATACGCTGGAAGTTTGGTATTACTTTTGCACTTCTCTTGCATGGCTGTGTTCAATTCATGAATGGCTCTCCCTATTTCATCTCGCCACAAAAGCAAAGCATTTGGCTTGAGCACGTCCTGGGATGAGCAAACTGAGGTTAGAAACAACACGGCAAAGGAAGGGGGCAACTTCCTCGGGGCAGGTGGGAATTGGTAGCCTGAGACTGCTGGTTAGTGAACTCTCAGGAAGCTTCCAGAAGAACCTGTGCACAGGACCTGCCCAGGATACTTGCAGGCTGTACCCACTATATGTCCTGAGCTGTGCACACTATAAGATGCACTGTAGGGCACAATCACCCCTCTTCAGAGCCACCCAGACAAGTCAGCATGCACTTGTCCCCGTGCCTCACTCCTGCTTAAGGGAGCAGAAGCAGCTGTTCTGAATGCTGCTTTCTCACACATAGGCTGCCTAGACACAGCCCCAGCCTTCCTGAGAACAGGTTCATCTCCGGACACCCAGACCATCAGCCACTGTCTAAAGCTCAGGAGGCCGCTGTCCACCACACCCCAGAAAAATGATGAGAGCCAGGCCTCCCGTGTGTCAACGAGAGCACAGTCCTCTTAGAGGTGCCCGTTTTGTTTTTCACGCAGAAGAAAAGTCTCCCTCCTTTTAGAACCACTTTTGGGATCAGGGTTATTAATGGGGTTGAGGAAAAAGACAAGGAGACAGAAGACCTGGGCTTTAATCTTCACTTTGTCACTCCCTATCTGTGAGGCCTGGGGCAAGTCATGGTTCTGAGGCACGAGAATAGTAGAGGGAATCGGGGGCTGGATAAAAGATGGAATGAGTAGGAGCAGAAGCAGGATAAAGAGGAGGGTGCAGAAGTTGAGCCAAAACAACAGTTATATGAAGTGAGCCAAGAGCCCCATGGGTGGCTGGATCTAGACCAAACCAGTAAGGGGCAGCTCCTCAGAGACAGGCATGTGTTCTAGAGAAAAAGTATCTCTAAAATGATCCCTTATGAGAATCAGCTCATTAAAGCTCATGCATAGGTACTGATAGTATGCATGTACTTAAAATTATGAGATGCAGGCCACGTGCAAGTGCACAAGGGCCAACGTAACCAAGCAACCCACCTACCCAACAAAAGGCAGACACTGGCTAAAAGATTAGGCAGCTGGGTGAAGAGAAAAGGAGCACAAAAAGATCCTGGCGCCGATCTCATTTCACAGAGGTCAGCTCACTCTCCCCTCTCCGAGAGTGTTACTGAACTTAATAAACATTTGCTACTTTGTTATTTGTGTTTGTCACATCCAGTTCTTTGTTTGTGGCACCAAGAACCTGGGACTTCACCACATTAGCCAGTAACAGTCCCTCTCTGAACCTCTGTTTCCTCAATAGTAACATGAAGAGGATGAGCTGGGAATATCAGGGTTTTCATGTGCCAACCCTAATTAACTGGAAGTGTCTGCTGAGAATGAGCTCAAAGTCATGTCCAAGTATGGAGGGAAGAGGGTGAGAGAGCAAGTTCATGGGTCACAAATTGCTATCATTCTATGATTTTAAATCCCATCTAGCAAACTGGTAGTTGGTGGCCAAATGTGCTAATGGTCATATTTCACTGGTACCACAGAGCATTTTTAAATTGTTAGTTACCAAAATTTTTAAAGCTGGAAATTTCACATAAAAGATACTGACATGGCATCGGTAGGCTGAATGGAAGTCATAACCGCCTCTTTTCATGTGGAGTAGGCACCATCTTTCTTAATTGCCCCACTAGTTTGTCACCTGCCTGGCCCTGGGAGGCACTGTAACCTTGCCCTAATCCCCCATCCTCTCTTTCTGCTTTCTCCCACCTCACTGCCCCCACACAGACCCCACACTTGCCTTCATGAGAGGCATTCTCGTCCCACACCGACCACATCTGGACACTGAAGAAGGGAGCCCAGCAAGCGATGTAGGCCAGCACGATGACAAAGGTCATCTTCACTGTTCGGATCTTGGCCCGTGAGATGGTGCTGATGCTGCTGACCCGGGATGGCAGCCCCCGAGTGGCAGCAACTGGGGCCGAAGGTGAGCGTCTCCAGCTCCCTCCTCCTACCCGCCAGGCCTGTGTCTTGACTTTGAGGTTTTTACAGATCTCATGACAGATGAGGCTGTAGCAGGCCGTGAGTATGGCCACTGGCAGGATGAAGATGGCCAGGGTGGTCCAGGTGAGGTAGACCCGTGGCCCCCAAGGGAAGCGGAAGTCTGCCCAGCAGTCCAGCACCCCCGAGCCCTGGGTCACCTCCTTCAGGGAAAAAATGAAGACCTGAGGGAGGCTGAGGATGGCGGCCAGCAGCCAGGGAGCAGCGATCAGCGGATAGATGGACTGGCCGGGCTGCTGGAGGCTGCGCAGGGGGTGACAGACAGCCAGGTAGCGGTCCAGCGTCATGGCCAGCAGCATGTAGGTGGAGGCGAACATGCTGAGCACCTGCAGGTACTTCACAGCCCGGCACAGGAGGTCGGGGCCCTGGAAGCGGAAGGTGATGTCCCACAGCAGCTGGGGCAGGACCTGGAAGAGCGCCACGGCCAGATCTGTCAGGGCTAGGTGCAGCACGAACAGGTGCATGCGGGAGCGCTTGCGGCCCAGCTGGCCCAAGGTTAGCAGCACAGCCAGGTTGCCCCCAGTGGCCAGCACCAGGACAGTGGCCAGGACTCCGATCTCCACCTTGGCCACCTCCTCATCCCGGCCCAGCCAGGGTGTTGTGGCATTGGGGGCAGAGAGGGTGCCCCCAGGGGTGGGGTTGGCATTCCGCAGAAGCCCAGAATCCATGGGCAAGGTTTGCTGAGGGGGAAGGGTGGAGGGATTGGCATCCCGCAGAGGCCCAGAATCCATGGGCAAGGTTTGCTGGGAGGGAAGGATGGAGGGAGGGTGTGGATGCAAGCGGAGAGGTTTGATGGATAAAATGGAGTGGCAAGGAAAATGTTGAAGGTGGAGAGAAAGAGAAATGTGAGAACGACAGGGAGAAGGCTTGCAAATAGGTGGAAATCGCTCAGACGACAGGGATAGAGAGGAGGAGGGGGGATGAGATAGGGAGGGAAAAATGTGGCTGTGATCGCCAATCCCAATGCGGAGAGGGGACCCAGGAGAGAGAGGAAGGGCCAAGGAGATGCAGAATCACGACCGGAAGAATCAGGGAGGCTGTGCAGAGTGGGGCTTCTGGAAGGGAAAGAAGTCTGGGGAGCTGCTACCAATCTCAAATCCACCTCAAATTCACTTTCTCCAAACTTTTCTGGAAGCTGAGAGCGGAAGCCCTTCCGCCTGCTTGAAGGCGGGCGCGGTCCGGGGCCGGCGGTGTCGCGCTCGGGGCTGGAAGCCCCCGCCAAGCCCGCGCGCTCTGCCGGGTGAGCAGCGGCGGGAGCGCAGCGGCGCGGTCCGCGCGAGTTTTATGGGCTCCCAGGCAGAGCCCGGAGGCCCGGCTCGCCAGTTGGCTCCTGCAGAGGAGGGCGGAGTGACGCTCGCAAGCCTCCCACCCGGCGGGAGGACCCAGAGGCCGGCTGCTGGAGGGAGGGGGTCCGAGGAGCCGGCGGACGAGGGACAGGGAGCGAGAGAAGCGGGCCAGCGCCCAGCAGCCGGCAGGACCGACCTACCCGCAAGCGGGCAGACAAGATCCTCTGCGCACTCACCCTGGAACTCTCGGGCCGTCTCTCGACAGGTGCATCCCCCGGAGATGGTGAGAGGCGGTCACTCCTCCCATCCACGGGGGAGACACTCAGGCTGGCGGCTCTGTTGGCGCGCCCCCTGCCAGCCGGCTAGCCGACGCAGACTCCACAAGCTTCAGGGGTGGCCAGGTGGGCGAGGCGGCATCCCTGATGGACAGTCACCTGGGAGTGACGTCGGACCGCAGACCCTGTTGAGGCACTGCTAGGCATAGGGAGAGGAAGAGAAAGTGAGATTTGTGGAGGTAGGGGCGGAAGAAGCTAGACCTGGGAGCCCTGGTGCGCTTGACTGGTGGGGACAGCGGGAGAAGTTCCCGGTATTTGCATCCTCAAGGGACGTCTTAACTTCTGGCCTATGTGCTTTTCCTGCCTTAGGTGCTTCCAGCATCCTAAACGCAGTTAACCACTCTGCCAGGTAGAAAACAGGCCCAGAGAAGTTCAAGAACTTGCTTTAGAAGATTACTGAACGAGTAAACAGCAGAGGCCGGTCTAGAACCAGCCCCAGGTGCCATTCTGATAGCATAGCAGCAGCACTTACACCTAACCGGCTCAGCTAAATTCTGTGTGAGAGGCACTGGTGCCGAGGATTAAAATAAAAACAAAACACCATCCAGTCCAGAGGCAGCTTACAGCTCAGTAGAGAAGGTATTTTGTGGTATTGGCTGTGAAATTCACTTTGTCTTCAGTATGCAAGATGGACTATTGGGACTCTCCCTAGAGCAGATTAGAAGTTAGGAGTGACATGGCCGGCTGCATTGCTGACGCCTGTAATCCCTGCACTTTGGAAGGCCAAAGTGGGTGGATCATCTGAGGTCAGGAGTTGGAGACTAGCCTGGCCAACATGGTGAAACCCCATCTTTACTAAAAATACAAACATCAGCTGGGCATGGTGACATGTGCCTGTAATCCTAGCTACTGGGGAGGCTGAGGCAGGAGAATCACTTGAACCCGGGAGGTAGAGGTTGCAGTGAGCCAAGATCATGCTATTGCCCTCCAGCCTGGGAGACAAGAGTGAAACTCCATCTAAGGGGGAAAAAA